AGCAACTACCCCATTGGATCTCATATGCAATTAAGAAAGGATGCAATTCAACTAGGTTTTACTGAGAGGAGATCCATTGAAATCAGTGAACATGATTAAGTTAGGTCCATTCAGGGACGTCTTAAGCATATTCGGCGCCATGGTGCAAAGCTCCCTCCGGCGCCCCCCTCACCCCTGTTTCCCAGAGTTGTCGACCTTTTTTTAGGGAGGGCTTCATGCCACAGTGGCCAGTGGCCACAGCAAATGGAGGCTCTGCATGGCGGAGGCAGGCGAGGGCAGTGAGCTGATGCTGGGAGGCGCCACGTCCAGCCTCTGCTTCTTCCCTGGCGCCCTCCAGAACTTGGCGCCCTGGCACCCTGTGCCACTAGCCTCTATGGGTAAGATGCCCCGGGTCCATTAATTTCAGTGGGTCTGCTCTGAGCTGGGCTGAATAATGCTCTCTATCCTGTGTTCTGTCAGATGCAGCAAGAGTTTTCCTCCATCAGTTCCTGATGGTGCCTTGCCCTGCCTCCATCTCTCTCTTCCTTTCTCCTGTCCGAATGGTGTCAGTTGATTGGGAAAATATATACGCAGAAGCATTCTATTCTGGGAATGCTGTACATTTGATTGCTCTGTACTGTTTAAGCCACCTTGTGGGCCTCAGTGAGAAAACGCAGAGTGGCTGGCATAAACACACACACACTTATTTCGAAATAAAGTGGACTTACTTTATAGTTCTCTTTCAGAATAACCGTAAGGCCCATGTCTCGATCCCAAGTGAGAGCAATTCCTCCTCCACCCAGCAACAAGATGTAGTAACGCCCAGACTTCAAGACTTCAAAGTTGACTTCTTCTCTAGGAGGTGTCAAGATGTTTACCTTCATCAAAAAGATATATATAGAAACTTCAGCAATGGAGCTATAGGTTACTTTCATACACAGTCGCAGGAGCACCATCAGTGATGGGCACTTGCGTTCAACGCTGTGGGCTTGTGGGGGATCCTGCCCTCTCCACAGGACCCAAAAATGCTGGTGCCAGCTCAGCCTAGGTCTCTTACATGCTTTTTGCTTTCCCACTTCCCTAAGTGGTAAGACATTACAGGGGACAGCCTTTATAGGATCAGTTGTGAGGGAGAGTGTACAGGACATTTCTGGGGTCTTGCAATAACTATTTATCAAGTATAGTTGAAGTTTTCCTCAGGTTTATTGCACACTGCCCTAAAATCCTTGGACGAAGGGCAGTTTAGAAATATTTTAAATAAAGTAAGTTTGAATTTGTTTCACTGTTGGCTAAAGGGAGTAGGAAAGTTTACTAGCATTGAGGTTTAAAGATGTGCAACAAGCACACAGGAAGGAGGAGCATAAACACAACTTTAGTTCAGCTCTGCAACAGCCTAAAAGCTCTTAGTAACTCTTTCCATCAAGCAGACTGAAGATACTTTCCCCCTCTTCTGCTTCAAAAATATCCTGTTAGACCAAACTCAGCCAAGAATCCAGTCATTATCTACTTCCATAGTGCCCATCATCAAGTGTCACACCATGCAAAAATTTGTTCTGCACTGCAACCTACGCAAGTTTACTCAGAGGTAAGTAGGTATAAGATTGCAGCTTCATGCAACTTTTCTAGGAGCAAGTCATGGTTCTTGTTGGATCTCTCATCCAGCTATCCCAGAAGGATAGGAAAATTTATGTTGGATCTATTTCTGGCTGAACCAATGTTCATGGTGCAGATGCGCAGCAGCAGCGTGGGTAAAAAAAGAGCAAGGTTGGTTCAGTGCAGAATTCGGCCACTCGTCTTCACTAGCCAGATGCCTCTGACAAACCTTCAGAAAGAGCTCAGTGGAGACAGTTATTTCCTTCTTATCTCAGGTAACACCCAGGTGTAAAGCTGATAGGTGTCTATAGACTTCTCCATGAATTTGTGGTGTGCTTTTGAATTTCTTTTTTTAATCAAAGTTAATGGGCATCACGACATCCACAAATGATGAGTTCCATGTTTTAATTGCATGAAGAAATACTTTCTGATTTCTTGCATAAACCTGTTGCCTGTCACTTGCCTGGCTGGTTTTGAGAGGGAAACGTCTGTAAATTTTACTCACAGAATTCATAGTTTTATAAATCTCTATTGTTTCCCTCTCTCTCTCTCTCTCTCTCTCTCTCTCTCTCTCACACACACACACACACACACACACATATAGTGTTCCTCCTCCATGTGCCTAACTGGTAAATCTGTTCTTTAACTTTAAAAGAGGATAAGGAAGAGGCCGGAAGGTGTTAACTGCCCTGAGCCTGGGGTATAAATAAATATTATTATTATTATTATTATTATTATTATTATTATTATTAATTAACTCCTGAAGATGGCACAGCTCCTCTCTGTCACTTAAAGGCAGAGGCAGAGGAACAGAGTTATCCAGGCCAGCAAGTTTATGTGTTTTAAAATATTCTTCCCTTTGTTGGTGTAAATTCAATTGAGCTTTTTAAAAAACCGAATTGTTTGTGTCTTCAAATAAACAGAAGTGCTTTTTTTCCCCCTGTGCAACTTAAAAATGAAATCTTTGAATGAAAAAAAAATGGTGGCAACCACTCTTTGTATGTTCAAACCCCCAAACAAAGAAGCATTGTGTGCCTTCAGATTTCACTGCAAAAAAATGTTTGCAAAGCTCTAGTATTCCAGGGATAATACAGCACTTTCGGAAGTTTAGGTAATGGTAATTCTATAACACACTGGAGATCTGTGAAGGATGAATGCAGCGACATTCCTGGCTGTTACAATGCCCAAGACAAACAGCTGAACTCTGCCCTCTGGAAGGGGGCTCGGTCTTTTGTTCTTCCTTTTTCTGTGTGAGGGGAAATGCAAAGTGGGGTGGACCCTCTGATTTCCTTTGCATAACATGCGGTTGAAAGGAGGGAAGAGCAACAGGGCCATCTACAGAATTATTATTTTTCCTGGTCAACCCAAGATTTGCTTTTAACAGAGGGCTAAATATCTGAAGTCTCTTGCCTCCTGGATTTTGCTTTCTCTTGAAAGGTATGCTTTTTTTCCATCAGTCTTTTCTCCTCACCCCTGAATTTGTTGAGAAAGAATCTGGTGACTATTTTGGCTAGATCTGTCCTAAAGTTCTCAGTTTGGGGAAGTGTAAAATAGAACTGGAGCCCCTTCAAGGAAGCACCAGTACAGTCGCACCTTAGATCCCAAAAACCTTGCGAGTCAAACGTTTTGGCTCCTGAACACTGCAAACCTGGAAGTGAGTGTTCCGGTTTGCAAACTGTGGCGATCACACAGGGTCCCCGGACGTTTGACGGTCTATTGACCCTGTGCCACTACTGTAATTGCTTTCTTTGCTGCCACCAACCCGTTTCTTACGGGTACACACGGAGTCCAGACAGTTGTTAACATTAATAAATAATCAAGTTTATTTTATAGGCATGAACAAGCTTATGGTTTCAGTTAATTTTTCTTGTCAGTTTCTTAATCTTAGCTCCTTAACTGTCCTATTCGTTCCTAACAACTTCAAACGGATTATCCCAACTAACTATCTGACTCCACCTAACATTTCCTCTCACTCCCTCACAACACAACTCGACCAACCCACAAACTATTCCTCCCTCTTCCTTCTCCAACTCCCAACTCTCAACTGACTTTCACACAACTCCCCCTCTAACCCTAACTCCTCCTATCAGTTTCCACTGGCCAATCACATCACACTCATTTGAACCCTATCTTTATGACCCACCTAGGAGGCAAACGCCACACAAACGTTCTTTGGAACCCGAACATCCAACGGGGCTTCTGTGGCTTCTGATTGGCTTCAGGAGCTTCCTGCAGCCAATCAGAAGCTGCACTTCTGAACGTTTTGGAAGTCAAACGGATTCCGTTCGACTTCCAAGGTACAACTGTAGTGATATTTTAAATGCAAGGAAGAAGGAGGCACTTTGCTGGATATGTAACAATCCAGCCTCCCTTAACTATCCTCTCTTGTCGTATTCCAGACTGCTGCAATGCAGTAGATACTTTTAAAAGGAGTGCCAGCAGTTAGAGTTTTCTTCTGCCACGAAATCTGAATTTACTTTCTGAATAACAAAAGATAGTGGAGCTCAAGTGTGCCTTAACAACAGGACCTGCTCTTTTGAAATGGTTACTGTCACCACAACTGGTTAACACGGATTATCTTGGTGCGTAGGAGAGCTGGGGGGAATTTTTGACGTATTTAAGGCACCCACAAGCACCAACACAGAAAACAAGTTCTTGGGCTAATATGCAGGAGCCCTGCTTCGAAGGAAACCTTGCAGAGCCCAGATTCTCTGTTAGTAAACCTAAATTGGTTGCTCTCATCATCCACCAAGGGCTTCAGAGGGCTCATCCAGACTCCCACTTGTCTTGACACTCCTCCCCCCCCCGAAGCCAGATCTTTACCTCTGAATCGGAGCATGCATCAATTGAGTTTTCCCCAGATTGGTGTTTGCTCTGATTCAGTGCTAAAGAGCAGGTTTTCCCTGGGGCAAATGGAGAAGCAGAAGTGTGAACAACCCCAGTAAGTACTGCCCCACTGCAAAGTCAGCAATATGGAATGCCTTGCTTTTAAACATGACACCACTGAGATCATAGTGAAGGTAAAAGGACTCCTGACCATTAGGTCCAGTCATGGCCGACTCTGGGGTTGCGGCGCTCATCTCGCTTTATTGGCCAAGAGAGCCGGCGTACAGCTTCCAGGTTGTGTGGCCAGCATGACTAAGCCACTTCTGGCGAAACCAGAGCAGTGCACAGAAACGCCGTTTACCTTCCGGCCGGAGCGGTACCTATTTATCTACTTGCACTTTGACGTGCTTTCGAACTGCTAGGTTGGCAGGAGCAGGGACAGAGCAACAGGAGCTCACCCCCGTCGCGGGGATTCGAACCACTGACCTTCTGATCGGCAAGTCCTAGGCTCTGTGGTTTAACCCACAGCGCCACCCGCATCCCACTAAAGTTTGCTGACCCCCTGTTCTAGTCCAACCCCCTGCAATGCAGGTATAGGCAGCTGTCCCTTACGGGGATCAATCCTGCAACCTTGGCGTTATCAGCACCACACTCTAACCAACTGAGCTATCCAGGCTGGTCATAGAGTAGCATATTAATTAAGTCAAAAGTTCTTGGTCCAGACTTTTTAGAAAAGCATCATAAGGCTAGCTCCTCCACAATGGGATTGAAGTAAAGATAAGGGGCTCATACTTACATCTCCGTTGTACAGCTCAATCACTCCACTGTCAAAGAGAATGCTAATCCTTTTAGTGCATGTCTCTCCTGTGAAGCTACATCCCTCATTGGCAATGAGTACTCGGAAGGTTCCAGAATCATCACTACCATCGCAGTAATCCTTTAAGAAAGGGAAGTGGCATTGGCGACAGATGTTTTGAACATGCACACAGATTAAAGGTAAAGGGACCCCTGACCATTAGGTCCAGTTGTGACCGACTCTGGGGTTGGGGCGCTCATCTCGCTTTATTGGCCGAGGGAGCCGGCATACAGCTTCCGGGTCATGTGGCCAGCATGACTAAGCCACTTCTGGCGAACCAGAGCAGCGCATGGAAATACCGTTTACCTTCCCACTGGAGTGGTACCTATTTATCTACTTGCACTTTGACGTGCTTTTGAACTGCTAGGTTGGCAGGAGCAGGGACCGAGCAACGGGAGCTCACCCCGTCGTGGGGATTTGAACCACTGACCTTCTGATTAGTAAGCCCTAAGCTCAGTGGTACCACAGCGCCACCCGCGTCCCACACACAGATTACCTGAGGTTTTATTGACAATTGTGTTATACAAATGTTACTAAATAAATAATAAAGATCACAAGTTTAGGGTTTGCCATTAAAATCTGAGTATCTGGAGATTTCAGAACAATAACCTGAGATCTTTTTCTCTGCACTTTCAGCTCTAAGTAAAAAATCAGCTGTGGAACTTGATCATATCCATGTGCATTTGCATGCGTCTCCTCTCTCTGATGCCTCCATTCACACATCACTGCTGAAATCTATGTGCAAATAAAAAACATCCACCCACAAATGGACAAAGCCAATTTAGGTCCATACAGTTACAGCACTGCACAGCACTATACCACCAGAACTGGCTTTTAGGCTGCTGTGGAGCACAGGAACTGGACCTGGGCATAGTGGTTAAAAAACCAATTTAATGTACAGTGGTACCTCGCAAGACGAATGCCTCGCAAGACAAAAAACTCGCTAGACGAAAGGGTTTTCTGTTTTTTGAGCTGCTTCGCTAGACGATTTTCCCTATGGGCTTGCTTCGCAAGACGAAAACGTCTTGCATGTTTGTTTCCTTTTTCTTAACACCGTTAATACAGTTGCGACTTGACTTCGAGGAGCAACTCATAGAACGTGGTGTGGTAGCCTTTTTTGAGGTTTTTAAAGACTTTGGTGATTTTTGAAGGTTTTCCAAAACTTTCCCGACACCGTGCTTCGCAAGACGAAAAAAATCGCAAGACGACAACACTCGCGGAACGAATTAATTTCGTCTTGCGAGGCACCACTGTAAAACGTTTTCCTTTCAGAATCTTGTATGCATTTATAGATGGATGAGTCCCACTGATTCTGAAAGGGACTTACACAACTGTCAGCATGCAAAGATTGCTACAGGACAACCTATTCCTCTCTCTCCTGTTTCTCATAGCATCATCCTGTCCCAGGCAGTGGAATACAACTCTGCAACTCTATCCAGGGGTCCATCAGTTTTGTCTGGCCTTGATACTCAGCAAAACTTTACAGTTGCCACCAACTCTGCCCTTTCTCCTAATTGCAGGTGGGGTTCTCATCTGTGACACTATACTATACTTCAGAACTCAAGTGAGAAAATTTGCTCCAAAGTGCCTTTGGACCCCAGCACAATATCCCAGAAATCTCTCATCTTTCTCTAGGCTTTGGAGAAACCTGGAAACAGCCGTACGTCTCACTGTGCCTCCAAAGCCCAGAACAAAAAATCTCACCAGATTAAAAGTGAACCATCACTGTGACAACTTGGCAGGTATGTTTGATCTGCCTCACTTGCTACTCAACATCTTAGGAACCTTCTGGCTATGCTTGCTTCACTGGCCAATGTTTGCACCAGCTTGGAAGGCAGTGAGCTTTGACCCTATTGGACATGGCCTGTTGTGACCCTGCTCTCCTTCCTCCCCAGGCCTATTGCCTGTTGATGAAACACCGGTGTGCTCTTCTCCAATGGCAGACTGTGAAATCACACTCTTGATTTAAAATGGTCATCAAATATATACAATCTAAAGTGACTTTGAGAGTTTCTTCTCTGGTAAAGTGTGTTCTCCTTCATGGAGAGCACGTGTTGCGGTGGGGGCCACCAGGACACTCCAAAGTTGTGGGGCGGGCTAATTGATCGTTGGCCACTGATGTGATTGGGCTTCCCTTGTTGTTGGGAAGAGGTTAATGTTGCCATTTGTTGATTGACAGCCAGAAATGCGAAAACTCCTTGCACGAGGCTAGGGCTTTCTCTTTTCGCCCGTGCATCGGATTGCCCACACCCCCCTCCCTAGAATTAGGGTTGTTCGCTTTGACCTTGCTATGCCTGTCATGGGGTCGCCTGCTCTTGGGGCAGGGGCCCAGTAGGAATTGTCCATCTGGCTGATTGGCTGGGGCCATTTGGTTTTTGCCTACTGCGTAGCAAATCGTCACAACTTGTAAGGTTGCGGTTAGGCATTGGTTTATGGTTTGGTTGGTTGAGGGGCATGGATTGGCTGGGCCTGCCCCTCTAATGCTGCTGCTGCAAGGGATTCCGTTAAAGGAATTGGGGGCTAACTATTGCTTGTCCACCCTGTCAAGGGGGCTTGGGCCACTGCAAGAGCTGCTGGTTGCATTTGGTGAAGGCTGAGGGCAGATTCCCTGCTCCATCGCTACCCCCAAGTGTATTCCCCTTTTCTGACTTTCGCCGGCGTGTGGAATGTCAGTATGTCCCCCATGGGGGGGCAGATAGTCGCAACCAATGCCTAAGCAACCACTCAATTTTTGGTATTTTAATAAAGTTGTGGCCGAAATTATGCCAAAAACCTTAAACAAAAATTTCTGTGTGATGTGTGAGTTATTATCTGCCCGGACGCTGAGGTCCAGCGCCGAGGGCCTTCTGGCAGTTCCCTCACTGCGAGAAGCAAAGCTACAGGGAACCAGGCAGAGGGCCTTCTCGGTAGTGGCGCCCGCCCTGTGGAATGCCCTCCCATCAGATGTCAAAGCGATAAACAACTACCTGACATTCAGAAGACATCTTAAGGCAGGGTTCAGGGAAGTTTTTAACGTGTGATATTTTAGTGTATTTTTGGTTTCTATGGAAGCCGCCCAGAGTGGCTGGGGAAACGCAGCCAGATGGGCGGGGTACAAATAATAAATTATTATTATTATTATTATTATTATTATTAGGGTGGCCCTGGGGACCTCGACACGCAAAAATTCTGAAGAATGTTGAAGGAAGCCAAAAGTGTGTCCATAGGTTTCGATGGTAGTTTTCCATATCTCTAACCCTTAGCCTTCTCTCAGCCGCCGCCACCCTCATCTCCAAGAACTGCATTCTATCCCCACTCTTACCTGAACTAGCACATACTGACAGTTCCCTGGAAACCTGTATTTCAGTCCATCAAAGGTCAAGTAATGAGATGTTCCAATGACTGAGCAGGTACCGTCACAGACATTTTCTGTGCATTCCCACTTCCGAGCCCGACAAACACTGCAGAGGGCAAAAGACCAGCAGCTGTTATTGTCGATGTTGATTAATAAAAGTCTGCTTTATAATTTGGTACATGGACAAAAGACAGTCTGTGTCTTGCAGGAAGCATGCAAAAATCATGTCACTTGTAAAACCTTGAGACACCAACATTTCTAGATATCACTGCAATACCTATTCATGCTTGTGAAGATAACAAGCTTCTTCAGCCTAGACAGTCAGATTACACACTTACTTACACACAAACACACACACGCACTTCAAAAATTGAGGTCCTTTCCCCTGGTTATGACACTGTTGAAACTTCGGAAGTCCACAAATTTTTATTTAGTTTGGAAACCACCCAAAGTTTGTGGGTGCCATCAAACTTACTTCTCCTCTGAGAGAATTCCAAGGCCTAAGATTTCAAGGTAGCTTTTGAAATCTGGAACCAGGCTTTAAAAAGCTTTTCATGTGCTTCAGAATAGTTATACCTTCTTTATAACAACACACCAGTACCAAAGACCAAACAGGTAAAAAAACCCCCAAAACCAGTGTAACCATACACAGTTAGGATTCCCTACCATTTTATAGGCTTGAAAGTCTAGTAATCTCCAGATTTTTCCAGGCTGTACCCATGACCCTTTTGTGTCAACTGAAGTCTAGTGTCCAGATCAAGGGAAGTAAGAATACTGCTCTATTCTGCCTTGGTCAGACCCCACCAGGAGTCCTGTGTCCAGTTCTGGGCACCACAATTTAAGAAGGATACTGACAAGCTGGACCATGTACAGAGGAGGGCAACCAAAATGATCAAGGGTCTGGAAACAAAGTCTAATGAGGAATGCTTGAGGATGCTCAGCCAGGAGAAGAGGAGACTGAGGGCAGATATGATACCCACCAATTTTATTGGGTGCTGAAATCTTCTCCTGTTGAAAACTGTGCATCTTAAACAGGCATAAGTTTATCTGGATTGCACTCCATGCATTTTAAATGCTGCTTCTGAAAAAACCACTAACTTCCTTCCTTAAAGAAATGTACAGTCTGGCACACACTAATGTTGTGTGTGTGGAACCCACAAAGATCTATAAACAGCAAGTTAAGTTACCACAAATAGATTCTCTCTTTACTTAAAGGCTATGTGTAAAAATTTCTGCCACTTCTGTATTCCCAGAAAAGATCTAGGCATAACACGGAGTGGAGCATTTTACAATATGTAGTGATTTACCATGGATATCCTGCTCTCTGCTGCTTATTCTCTTACGAAAACACTTTTATTGCCCTCTGAAGGCCAGTATGGGTTAAATAAGGAGTGTAATAAGGCTAGTATTTCCTTTCATTCATTCTTTTCTTTTTTGTGTGCTCATAAGACGACTAAATAGCAGTCGAGAGCGTGAGACTGCATAC